TTCTCTTCTCCTGCTGGGTTTAGGCTTTATTTGCTGTTCTTTCCCCGGCTCCTTTAGGTGTAGGGTTAGGTTGTGTATTTGAGACTTTTCTTGTTTCTTGAGAAAGGCTTGTATTGCTATATACTTTCCTCTTAGGAATGCCTTTGGTGCATCTCAAAGATTTTGAACAGTTGTGTTTTCATTTTCATTTGTTTTCATGAATGTTTTTATTTCTTTTTAACTTTCTGGTTGACTCATGCATTCTTTAGGGGATGCTCTTTAGCCTTCATGTATTTGACTTCTTTCCAACTTTCCTCTTGTGATTGAGTTCTAATTTCAAAGCATTGTTTTCCTAAAATATGCAGGGAATGATCCCAATCTTTTTGTACCTGTTGAGACCTGATTTGTGACGCAGGATGTGATGCAGGATGTGATCTATTCTGCAAGATGTTCCATGGGCACTAGAGAAGAATGTGTATTCTGTTGCTTTGGGATGGAATGTTCTGAATATATCTGTGAAGTTCATCTGGTCCAGTGTGTCATTTAAGCCTTTATTTCCTTGTTGATCTTTTGCTTAGATGATCTGTCCATTTCAGTGAGGGGGGTGTTAAGATCCCCTACTATTATTGTATTATTGTCTATGTGTTTCTTTGATTTTGTTATTAATTTGCTTATATAATTGGCTGCTCCCATGTTAGGGGCGTAATATTTACAATTGTTAGATCTTCTTGTTGGATAAACCCTTTAAGTATGATATAGTGTCCTTCCTCATCTCTTATTATAGTCTTTGGTTTAAAATCTATTTGTCTGATGTGAAGATTGCCACCCCAGCTTTCTTTTGGTGTCCATTAGCATGGTAAATTGTTTTCCACCCCCTCACGTTCAATCTGGGGGTGTCTTTGGGTCTAACATGAGTCTCTTGTAGGCAGCATATTGATGGGTCTTGTTTTTTTATCCAGTATGATACCCTGTGTATTTTGATTGGGGCAGTTAGCCCATTTACATTCAGGTTAACTATTGAAAGATATGAATTTAGTGACATTGTATTGCCTGTAAGGTGACTGTTACTGTACATTGTCTGTGTTCCTTTCTGGGCTATGTTACTTTTAGGCTCTTTCTTTGCTTAGAGGACTCCTTTCAATATTTCTTGTAGGGCTGGCTTGATGTTTGCAAATTCTTTTAGTTTTTGTTTGTCCTGGAAGCTTTTTCTCTCTCCTTCTATTTTCAATTACAGCCTAGCTGGATATAGTATTCTTGGCTGCATATTTTTCTTGTTTAGTATTCTGAATACATCATGCCTAACAATTTTAAATATCTACACCCCTAACATGGGAGCAGCCAATTATATAAGCCAATTAATAACAAAATCCATGGAATACATCGACTGGCCTTTCTGGCCTGCCGGGTCTCTGGGATAAGTCTGCTGCCAATCTAATGTCTTTACCATTGTAGGTTACAGACCTCTTATTGAGCTGCTTTCAGAATTTTCTCTTTGTCTCTGAGACTTGTAAGGTTTACAGTAGATGTTGGGGTGTTGACCTATTTTTATTGATTTTGAGGGGGGTTCTCTGTGACTCCTGGATTTTGATACCTGTTTCCTTCC